GCGCCCTGTCTTTTTCTCTCCTAGATCACTAGGAGACTCAGGAACCCCTTGGATAAACGGGGAACTGATTCCCGGCCTGGACCAGCCTCTTAATGAAGTGGTACCCCTGGACGTGGCGCTGCAGGATGCTCGGGATGCTTGGATGCACTGTGTTTCAGGGGGGCTCCTGATGCCTCCTCCACCCCCTGCATCCCCAGAGGCCCTGGGACTTGGTCCCGCCGTGTGAATCGAGCATGTCATGAGTTTGTCCGTCTCTGCTGAGTCACGGCATGGGGGGGGCGAGGGGGCTGTGGCACGCAGATAAACCGTGACGGTGCAAACAGGCACCCGCTGGGGCTGCGATAAGGGTGGCCATGGGACACCGGGGGCTGCTGCTTTCTGCTGTGTCAGACTTCTGACGCAGCAGAAAATAATTCTGTAATTCTGCTGAGGCAGCGCGACCACCAGCTGGGAAGGACTTGGGGGCTGTTGCTTCCCTCACAGCGCCCACAGAGACAGCAGGACCCCGGCCACTGCTGGTGGGTTGCAAGCTGCAAAGGCCACTTGTGTCCCCAGGGGGAATGCAGGACACGTCCCATACCCGGCCCTGCTTTTCTTCCCTCTTGCAATGGGTGCAGAGATGTTGCAAGCGGCTCTTGCAGTCACTGTATTTTTGCACAGGGAACACGGCACGAAGCTGTTTGTCCCTTGCAGTCCCATGGCCCTCTCTTACCCCACTGTGCATATAATATATACAGCCTCCTCCTAAACCCTGCTTTTGCCAGCATGGAGGTTGGGAGCTGCTTTCGGGCCCCTTTCACAGAATTCTTTTGACTGCACTAACGGGTCTGAAGGCAGCCTCGACAGCTCTCTGGAAACTCTGCACTTTTTCATTTACCTTCAGACTGGCCTCTTTCACTGGAATTTAGGCACTATGGGGTAAATACAGCCCAGGCTCATTTGCACAGGGGGAACATTTATATTCAAAATTATTAAACTGCCGTGAATGCTGAGGCCAATGTCAGTGTCACACCGGGGGTCACTGCAGAGAGCTGAGCTGGGGGGTGACGCGGCCCCATGCTGGGGATAACCAGGCCCTGTTCTTGGGATGAATCCCCAGTGCTGCTTCATGCATGAAGCATTTCTGAGCAATCCCTGTTTTTATAGACGGTTAAACCAAAACATGGATTTCAGAAAGAGAGAGGTTTTGGGGGGGACTTTGAGGCAGGGGAGAAATGTCCAGTCAAGGCTGCAGACATCCCTGGGTCAGACCTGGCTTGTGCCTTTTTTGATCCACTTTCCTCTCAACCAGTCCCCTATAGAGCTGCTAATTGTGTACGTGGCATTGCAGCTGCCACAGACATCTCTGTGCCTGCATTTGCACTTGCCAGGACAAGCCTGGTGCCTTTGCAGCAACTTCAGGGTGCTGCAAAGTCTCCCTGGGGGGACCTAGCGGCTCTCCCCTGGCTCCAGGGCTGTGGCAGGGATCTGCCAGGGAGCCTGTTTTATTTTGCATTAGCTCTTTCTAATTACCCACAGGCATTAGGAGGAGCCGCTGCTTTATCATTTCAAGCTGGGTGCAGCGATGGCAGAGCCCTTGGAGCTGCCCTGGGCTGGGAGGCTCCTCCATCCCCGTGGGTCTGACAAGCAGGGACGGGGAGCAGGGTCCGAGCAGCAGCACGAGATCTGCCCTGTGCAGAAAGCAGACGCCCAAGTTATCAGCGCCCAAGTTATCAGCATCCCGAGGGCTGCCGTAATGAGCCTCTCCTGGGATAACTACACAAGAGCAAAGGGTTGCAGTCTTTAAGTTAGCATTTCCCTAATGAGATTCCTTCTTGCGGTAAAAATGCTTTTGCTATATCCCCGTGCACCATATTTCTTCATTAGTGTTTTGCAGGCAGGGGAAGACAGGCCCTGAAGAATACACTAATAAATATAACTTCAGCAACTGAAATTGGACCACCTCCATCCACTCTAAGACTCTTGAGCTATAATATTTAGTACTAAATATTCCTCTTCTCTCCCTCACTGACAACGTCTGTTAATGCATTTAGTTCTCATCATTTCCTTTAGTGATATGAAATCTGCCTGGGGCACTTATTATCATGATGTTTTCAAAATGCTTCATCCATCAGTGCCTGAAGCTCTGCAGTCAAATCTATTCCAAGATTTAGCAAGACCCCATGAAACTCCTGGATCTCTTGAGAACTCTTCCGAGGGCTTAGAGGACATTTAAATCATATCTAGGCATGTTGCTGGCCTCCAAACTTAAGTGTAAGTGCAGCATTGCAAGAGTTTCTGCAGTCAAGTGCGGGGGTAGCAATAGGTTTGTGCAGGGAAAACCACCAGTACAGATGGGGATGAGGATGGATGGCCTGGAGCATCTCCTGTGCTCCAGCAAAACCTGCAATGTCACCCAGACAACGTGCTCATTCCCGGCCCTGAAGGACAGTCCCACATTACTCACTTGAACCCTGCTTCAATTTCACTGCTCCAGCAGTTGCACTTAGAGTTTCAGGTGCCCCAAAAAGGGTAGGTTAGGACCTTGGTGAGCTAAAGGAGGAGTGGCAGAGGAGCAGCCATGGGCGACCATGCATTAGCTGTGAAGCCAGGTCCTGCTCAGCTCACCAGCTGTGGCAGTGCTGCTCTGTGGGTCACAGCACAACCCAACACCATCGCATGCATCTCCTTGGCCTTCACCCCATGTCCGATGGGGCTCCTGGTCAGGGACACCAGGTGGCAGAGGCTGGTCCTGGTGCAGAGTGTGGAGAAGACAGCTGGCAAGTGGAAGAGGGCAAGGATGCAGATGCAGAAGCTGAAGATGTGGAGCCTCCAGGGACACTGAGACCAGTGTCCCTGGAGGGGATGCTCAGCATGACCTGAGAATCAGCACATGTGGCCTCGTGCTTAAGACCACATGCAGAACTGTGATCAGGAAGGCATCTGCCAAGCATGGTCACTGCTTTCCGCTATGTCACCACAAGCCAGCTTAGAATGACATTAAGAGGGTCCGCACAGCTCAACTGTACACTGTCTCTTCAATACACGAATTAAGAAGCACCTGGTGTGTTCAGAATAAGCACACAGGGATGGCTTTTCACACAACACATCCTTAAGCTGTACAGGTACAGCTTCTTGCCATTGCATTTCACTGCTGCCAAAATTCACATGCAAATGAATTTTTAATAAATCAATTCTGGCTCAGGAATTCGGCAGACCACAAATGCTGGAGACTGGGAAAGTGTTTGGGGAAATATTAAGCACACTTGCCCTCTTCTTATATTCTGCTCTTGGCATATGCTGCAGGCCATCTCTGGGTCACGGTGCATGGCCACATAGCTCCGGTTGGTCCAAGGAGAGCTGCTCTTTGGCACAAGGGACCTAGTAAACCAAGTTGCTGGAGGCAGAGGCAGCAGAGACACAAGGCCTCATTCAAAGAGCATACAGAGCTTCTGCCCTGCATCGTGCTTCAGACCTTGACCTCGCTATGCCCTGCTTTAAATTATGGTGGAGAGCATCTTCTGGAGTGCTGAATCCAGGGCCCTGAACCCAAAGGATTAGAGCAAAAAGAGGGTTTTGTTCCTCTTGCACAGATTTAAAGTGGAGCTGGAAACATCCCTCAGGATTCACCTATCCATCATCCTGCCACAAAGCAAAAGCTCCTCTACCTAAACCATGTGTAGCATAAAAACTGGCCCGAATCTCTAGTGCAGAAGAGGCCGGGAGAAGGGCTTTTCTGGAGCTGGGCATATCCCCTGGAATCATTACCAGGGATGCATGGTGTGGTGCAGACTGCAGAGCACGACGCGAGAGATAAACATGTGCACCAGGGCAGACCTGGTTCTTTGGGGGTTAATGCACCTGCTCTGAGCTCAGAGGAACGGCAAGCGGGGATGCTACCGAGCTGGAGCTCCTCACACTGGGGATTGCTTAGGGCGGTTTATAAATTCCACCCTGCTGGGAGCGCTGGTGCTCGGGAGCAGATAACTCCATCGGCGGAGGCTCAGGGAGGGAAGCTCAGGCTGATCTCGAGTGCAGCAGGTGAGTGGGTGCTTTGCTTATGTGTTGAGGGTTGCACCATGCCGCTATCAGAGAAGGGCTGAGCCACCCTGTAGTCCAGACTCTGTGCGGATATGGACAACTCCACAGATGCTCGCATCCCCAAACGCCCCATCACCCTCCTATGGAGCAGCTCGATCAGTACCCTGCAATGTGCTCAGCTCCAGCACGCTGTGCTCTGCTAGAGGCTGAAACCGAGATGGGAGAGCTCCCACGGACACCAAGCTCTTGTGTTCCACTGCCTGTTAGAGCAAAGCAGGGTGCAGGCCCTTTTCCTCTCACGGTTTCAAGAGGACAATTTCTTTCAGTCAGATGTGGGGTTTCCCTTGAGATGTTTGTGTCTGAGGATAATTTTCCATTCTGACTGTTCCTCCTTCCCCTCCATGTGTTGTGGGAGATGTTCTTTAATAAACATCTGTTAAGGACTAGTATGAGCTCAGACACATATTAAAGTCTCCAGTTCCACACAAGCAGGGATCAGTCAGCAGAACTTACTCTGTTGTTGCACTGACCCCGCTGGAGTGCATCACAGATTGGGAAATTGAGGAAGGGAATGGCAGAGACATATGCTGTGGAACAGAAACTTTATGGATTTCAACATAGAATGGTAAGATTCCTGCAATTATCTGAACAGAAAGATAGATTTAAGCATTTCTAATTGCATTTTTTAAAAACATTTGTGTTATTTTAAGTACTTTTCTACACTTGCATGTGGATACTCTGCATAAGGTGCCACTAACAGACCTGCCCAGGAACCTAGTTCGTGTATGTATGGGAGGAGGTGAGTATGCTCAGATGTTCCAGTAGAGCTCCTGGTAAGTTCTGCTGTGACACAGCACTGGTCATGGCAATGCCTCCGATTCGAGAGGCTGGAGGACTGACAAACTATACCTACTTCTCACTGCCTCCCTCTGATTTGTGATCCTGCTGACTTGCTTTCCAGGGCAATATTCAGTGATGAGATGGTGCATCCTTGTTCCATCCTACCCGAGGCCAACAGCAGTCAGACAAAGACTCTGTCTTTCCTTTTGGGTGGCTTTTCAGCATGGGAAAGCACTCAGATATGGGGAGCTGTACCTCTCTGCTCTGCGTACCTTCTTGCACTGCTGGGGAACTGCACTATCCTTTCCATCATTAAGGTAGAGCAGAGTCTCCACACACCCATGTATCTACTCCTTGCTATGCTGGCTGTGGCAGACTTGGGTTTGTGCACATCCACATTTCCAAGCATGCTGATGATGCTGTGCCTGAAGGCCAGAGAGATTGGTTTTGGCATCTGCCTTGTCCAGATGTTCTTCATTCACAGCTTCACAGATATTGAATCTGCTGTCATTCTGGCTATGGCCTTTGACCGCTATGTGGCCATCTGCCACCCCCTACGATACTCTTCCATCCTCACCAACTCGGTGACCATGAAGATATGTGTGGCAATCATTATGAGGACCATCCTTATCGTAATTCCACTTCCAGTCCTGCTGATCCAGCTCTGTTTCACCACAGCCAGCAAGCTCTCCCATCCCTATTGTTTGCACCCAGACATCATCAAACACTCAGGCTCTGACACAAGAATCAACAGTGCCTATGGGCTTTTTGCGCTGATATCCACACTGGGCTTGGACTTGCTTTTTGTCCTTCTGTCCTATGTTCTGATCCTTAAGACCATCCTGAACATTGCAACTTGGAGGGAGCGTCTCAAAGCTCTCAACACCTGCATCTCCCACATCTGTGCTGTCCTGTTGTTCTTTATCCCCATGATCTGCCTGTCCATGCTACACCGGTGTGGGAAACATGTGTCCCCCAAGGTGTACACTTTTGTAGCCAACCTTCATTTTCTGGCACCACCTCTCCTGAATCCCATTGTTTACAGTGTGAAAACCAAAGTGATCCGGAAACGGATACTGGGAATGTTCTATCAAAGAGGGGCACACAACTCTAGGGCTGTCATTTGCCAATAGAGCCAACATGATGGTCATGGCTAACAGTTTTGTGCAAGGTTAAGTTCCTGAGAACACCATCCAAAACTTTTGCCTGTATAAAGATATGTGGGAAGTGGGGTTATCTATAAGGTAAAAGATAAGCAGAAGGTAAAGGACATAGCTACCTGCAAGGTAAGAATATATGCTTTGTAAGGATGTCTGATTGTCAGTTCTTCAGTATATAAACAGAGACAAGAGAGAGGAAAAATAACAACCCACACCTACGTGCAGACCCTAAACTAAGAGATAGTATCACAGACCACAACTATCAGGTCACTGATGGAGATGCTGCTGAAGGAACAAGGAACAAGGAGGTTCAACCAGATCTCCAAGAAGAAGACTTGCTTCTCCAAGAAGATCTCCAAGAAGAAGAGAAGATTATTATGGATCACATGGGAAAGGGCAAATTTATGGGAGAATCTTCAGGGGTTCTGAGGATGTGTGCAATGTATTCTGTGATGTGAAATGTATTATACTTTTGGTACTCTTCCTTTAGAGATACAATCCCACATGATCCTTCAAATATTCCATAAGAATTTTATTCTTTCCTTTAGGAGAGGGACCAAAATCAGGCAAAAAGAGGGTTTAGAATAGGGGGGAACCAGCATGGGAAAACAGAGTTGCAGGGGATAAAAGGGGCCAAGCAAATGTAAATGAGCAGGTGGTCAGTGTGCTTATCTGGCTGCTGCAGGCTATCCTGGCTTCCCATTAAACCTCATTTCTTGATATTTTCTGAGTGAGTGGATCTCTTTGCACAGGGATATGTGTGGCATTTCCCAGCAAACTTCAAGCTGGACTAACGGGTGAGTAGGAGGAGACCGGAATCTGGAATGATCCAAGAGTGGAGCTGGAGACTGGGGAAATATGGATCCAGGCACAGAGTCTGGACAGATCCATGGTCTGTTCCAGGGTTGGATGGGCCACGAGAGTGGCTGCAAACGCAGCAAGGGTGGGTGTCCTGTGCTGATCCGCGGGAGCAGAGGAACAGGACTGAGCTGCATAGTCCCTGTGAGTGCTGCTGGTGTCCACACACTGTCTGCAAAGGCTCGGCCCTCTGCAATGGTCCTTTCAGGTGGTCACATGTGTAGTGAGCAAATACGGGCTTTTCTGTGTGGCTATGCATGCTCAGCATGGACCTGCCAACTCATATAGCAGAAAACAGACTGAAAGGGAGAAAATCCTGAGTATTCACGTGCCCCAGGTTTGCCTTCCTTTAGTTGTCAACATTTACCACCTGCAGGTGAACTTTCAGGCTTGCAAAACCAGAATGACACTGAGTACTTATACATAAATCCCATACTTTAAGAACCCCATATGTGATGCAATGAGACCAGCACTGCCAGACTACTGCAATTCTCTGGATTGAGATGGTCCCGACATGGCCCGAGGGGCAGAATTGGCCCTGGGGAGACCGAGCTGGTCAGCAGCTGTTTGCGCTTCCACCTTTGCATGTGAAGCAGAGGATGAGGGTGTGCACATGCAGCAGGGTCAGGTCTGGCAAGGTTTGCTGGATCAAGCACTGCCCTTACAGACACGTCTGCCTGGCCTGGCCCAAGGACCTGGATCCCCCGTGTTTGCAGAAGTCGCTTCCAAGGGCAAACGACAAGCAAGGGCAGTGCTTTATGCAAAGGGGTGACTTCAGAGCTCTTAAAGAGCAAACAAAAGCACTGCCTTTTCTTTAATACATAAGTTTTTAAAACACACTGGGGCTTTACTCATTTCACCTTGCATGCTTTGCCTGAGTTTGGCTGCAGCACCACATTTTTGGCATGGCTGCTTCCCTCCAGACCAATATGCTGCCTTCCTTTCGCTGCTTCCTCCTGACCTGCAAAATGGATTTATTGCCACTTGAGCTAATGGAGCAGCACTGATGGAAAAGCGTATTTTCTCTTTCACAATCCAGGAGGAGCAGACACATCTGGAGGGCCTTTTTTAATTGTTTGCAAAATGAAATGTTTTTGTGGTTTCCCATGGATTGTGCACACAGCACCACAGCAGGGAGATTCACCCTGATCTTGGGAAACACTGTCACTAGGAAGTGATAAATACCTAAAACCTAGAGGATACTTGCAGCTTTTCCAGGCTCCAAGACAAGGTCACACATCTCTATAGCCCACCAGGACAGACCTAGATGTGCTGAAATGGCAGCATGATGTGGGTGCTAAACGCTTGCACGGACTCAGAGAGCAAAGGCAGATTCACAGGAGGAAGATCCTTGGATGCCAGAACAGCATCTCTGGCAGAGGAGGCCCCTGCGCTCTTGCTGCTGGCACGAGCACAGCAGAGAGGCATCCCCGCTTGCTTGCCTTGCTCTTAACCCCTTCCCTCGGCATCGTGGTGGCTCCGAGGTTGCACAGACCTCGGTGCGGCTCCAGCAGCTGCGCTCTGCTCGTGCCTCGTTGCTTGCACTCCCTGCAAGGTCCCGCGGGGTCTCTTGCTGCGAGGCCGCTCGTTCCCCCGAGCTGCAGGCGCTGGCTTCTGCACGGCTCGTGGCCTCCCTCTGCCGGGTGCAGACCCTGCAGGCTGCGCGCCGGGCTCGCAAGAATGGGGTGGGCATGCCCATGTCCATGCACGAGTTGACAAGAGAGCCAGGCGATGCTGCCACACAGCCCATCCACAACTTCCATGTCTGCACCTTCACCGAAAGTTTGATACTCCTTTCCCCGCTATCATTTTTTTTTTCTGAAACAATGAGAAAGTCTAGACATAAGGAGGTCCTCTCCTGACCGCCTTACTGGAGACATTACAGGTGCCTGTGCAGAGACCAGCACACACCTCCCCGTGACGATGGCTGCTGCTTCCACACAGCAGCTGTGCCTTCATTTTGAAGGCTGGAAACACAAAAGCCAAGGAACACCAAACCTCTGTGCCAGCTTTTCAGACCTGTCCATTAAGCTCGGGGACTAGGACTGGTTCTGGAGCACAAGGGTTCTTTTGCCCAACAGAGAAGCTGCAGTAGGAGAGGTAGTCTGGATCTTGGGTAAATCAGCAAGAAAACTGTACCTGCCTATGCCACAGTATGTATCAAATGGGTCTTTGAGGACATATTTAATTAAAATCATGCATTTTTGCACTGGAGTCTGTCTGAGCCAGGGGTTGTCTGTCACAGCACCTGTGCTGGGGCTGGGCAGTCAAAAAGCAAGTGCATGGTAACAGTTGATGACAAGGAGGTCTTGCAAATGCCCCATTTTTCAAGAGCTTGAAAATCTATTTCAGAAATGTATATTCTTAAGCTATCAGCTCACCGTTTTCTTGATTCAAAGAAAGATATATAAAAAAATTCTAGCTAAAGGCAATCTGTTTGCTTTTATTTCATCTCCTAAAACTACTTTTAGTGCTCAGTTTAAGGCCCCCAAGTTTGACTTTCCTCCTGATTTTATTAGCTTCCATTCTCCCACATGCTCTCTCTGCTCACCCACCTGTTCCCCATTCCTGCTCTTTATTAATATTGGATTTTCTTTATGTCTCCAAAGAGAGTCCTTGCAAAGTACAAGCCAATGCTGAACATTGAGACCGAGGATGGCTGTAAAAGCAAGCTGCGGAGACCAGACACATTATTAATTAGAGTGATGCTGGAAGCAGCAGCATCTGCATGCCCACACGGGAGGCAGAGGAAGGCTGGAGACAGTGAGCAGAACAAGTCCTTTAGCACCACTGCAGCATTAGCTGCAAGAGATCAGGATCAGCATCACTCATCCATGTGTCTTAAGCTGTCCCATCTCATCTTCATCCCTCCATGAAGAAGGTGATGGTACTCTGATGACTTGATGCGCTCTCCCTCGTGCCATACCGTGGAAACCATGGTGGGGTATCTGTCATCAGGCAGTGCAGATAAAAGAAATTCCTATGAAAAATACTTTCATTCTGTATATCTTTCACGTCTTCTGTTCACTCGGTGCAGACTGGAGCTCTGCAGCTCCCAGTTGCATGTGAGCTCCCCCAGGAGTCAGGGGACTGTATAAATATCGCCACCTCCTGCTTCTCTCTCTGCTCTGGCTCCGAGGCAGCTCTCCTCAATCCCAGTTGTCCCAGGAGCAGGTGAGTTGCTCACACAAGCTCTTATTTAGCAGGTTTCGGTGACTGAGGTGCCTGATTTGAGTAAGGAGGTAAAATTCTGCATCCAGGACCTGGTAATGAGGGCTACCAGCAAAACTTAAGAGTGGCATGCTTTTATGCTTATGCTATGCTTTGTAAAGCACAAGTCATTCACTATTAAAAAACTATGTAAAATTGTTTAAAGAAAAACTGAATGTCCTTAGAATTAGAGAAATTCTCAGAATAAAACATGTTTTTCAGTCCTTTCAGCAGAGATGAGACCTAACTTTAGACTAATCGCCTGAGGTTTTATTTATATATATATGTGTATATATTTATTGCAGGGAAGGGCATTCAGAGAAGCAAGAAAATATCAGCTAAGGCCTGAGCTAAGGTGGCCAGACAGGCAATTGCCAACCAGGACAGTCTGGGATGCAGACCTGGTTTCTAGCTGTCTGTGGAGAGCTCATGGTTCTTCTTCATAGCCTGGATGATGCTGCCCTCACTGCTAGCTTTGTCCTTTTACTGGAAATACTGCAAATTCTGGGCTGGGCTGTGCAACTCCCAGCAGAGATGCAAGCAGAGATGAAAGTCACAATGTAGCACGAGCTAGAAAAAGTACAACAGCCCTTTTCCCTGGTCACTGGTGTGCCTACAGAGGACTCAGCACATGCAAGCTCCAGGCATGCCGGAGATGGAGCCGGGCTTGTTCACTGCATGTGTTGAGGGACAGCACAGGCAGATATGACACAGTTAGGGACACCCACGAGGCAGCACTGCCGACATTTTTGGGAAGTGGGTTTCATCCAGCTGCGGTGTCAGTGGCTACTCAGATTTTCGTGCAATTTTGGGTATCTAGCATGGGAAAACAATGAGGATCCTGAGTTTCCTTGCTTGAAATCTGTGCCAGAATTGTGACGCTCACCTCTGCCTCAGCAGCCTTGCTCTGCCTTAGCCCTTAGCTCCCGGACTTGCCTTGCAGTCCAGCAGCTATCCTGTGTTCCCTGCACACTCTCTCTCCTGGAGCCTACGTGCTCTGCGGGTGCTGATTTTCTGCTCTGATTTGTTTTGCACAGACTCCTGGATTCTGCTTTCATACCGATGGGCTACTGCCATCAGTAAACGACACGGGATGCTGCGCAAGCAGCCTCTGACTTGCATCATCATCTGATGTCCTGCAAAACGTGATGGGAATGAACAAGTGAGCAGAGAGTGAGGAGAGTAGTGAGGTAGGTACTGAAAATTTTAGTATGTTGTATAAAATCAGGGTCTGTCAGGGCCAACTCATCAGCTGCCTTTGGGAAGCTGCAAAACAAAAGTACAGTTAATGACTGCAGTTCAAGCTAGTGGGGCTGGATTCCTCTCCCTCGCTCTTGTGCTGATTTGTGAACTTTGGTAATCCCTTCTCTGAATTTCCTTTCTGAGTCTATAAAATACTGACCCCTTCATTTATTGCTTGGTTTGGAGCCAATATCTCAAGTAGGCTTGGGTGGGGGCAGTGAGTTTTCCAAATCACTTCAGAAGCTACAGAAGGAAAGTTCTCCTGCCTCCTCCACGTGTATGCTTGTGATTTCTAGGCTGTGACACCACCACTACCAACTGTTTTTTGGTTACAGGTAAGACACCCTAAACCAGTTTAGATCTCCTCCTGTGATGGCACCTGTCAACCATACCAGCTTGTGGCCTGTCTCCTTCCTTCTGATGGGCATCCCAGGCCTGGAGGAGCTGCACATCTGGCTTTCCATCCCATTCTGCCTCATGTACATCGCTGCTGTCTTTGGCAACTCCATCCTCTTCTTTGTTATCGTGGTGGAGCAAAGCCTCCATGAGCCAATGTACCTCTTCCTGGCCATGTTGGCTGTGACAGATCTTGTATTATCCTCCTCCACAGTGCCCAAAGCCCTGAGCATATTCTGGTCCCTCTCCAAGAGAACGTCTTTCCATGCCTGCCTCACCCAGATGTTCTTTGCACACGTAAGCTTCATTGCAGAGTCCACCATCCTGCTGGCCATGGCCTTCGACCGCTATGTTGCCATCTGCAACCCACTGCGGTACGCCGCAGTGTTCACACACTCCGTGATGGCAAAGATCGGGCTAGCAACCATTGCTCGGGGCTTCTCTGTGATTTTCCCAACAATCTTCCTCCTTCGGAGGCTGCCATACTGTGGACACAAGGTCATGCTGCACAGCTACTGCGAGCACATGGGCATCGCCCGTCTGGCCTGTGCTGACATTGCCGTGAACATCTGGTACGGCTTTGCCATCACCCTTCTCTCACCAGGAGTGGACCTCATGCTCATTGGGGTGTCATACATCCTCATCCTCAGGGCTGTCTTCAGGCTGTCCTCCAAGGAGGCCCAGCTCAAGGCTGTCAGCACCTGCAGCTCTCATGTCTGCGTTATAGTCATGTTCTACACACCAGCATTTTTTCTCATTTTTCTCTCACCGTTTTGGTCACAATATTCCCAAACACATTCACATCCTCTTGGCCAACCTCTATATGCTCCTACCACCCATGCTCAACCCCATTGTTTACACAATGAAAAACAAGCTAATTAGAGAAAAAGTGTCCCGAATATTCTTTAAGTGTTGGCAATGGCGCTGACAGGAATGTTATTCCTTTGAGAGAAAAGTACAGACGTTTTCTGCAGCACAAAAGCAGTCTATATGCATGTGAAACCATATGCTTTTCTCCTCCTTTTAGACTCCACTTAGTATCATTGCTGCTTAGATATCCCAAAAGTAAATCATGCCACTAAGTGAAAAAGGAGAAATCAGGAGGGATCCATAGGCCTGAGTCATGACTGATGTAAACTAATGTGACGCCAGCACCACCAGATCTTTATCGATTGGTTTGAGTTGGACCTGTGCATATATGAAGTGCACATTTTTTTACCAGCATCTGCCATCAGCTCCCTTTTGGGAGCCTATTTATGCATTTGGTGTCTCAAATTTGTCTGTAAATATCATAAATATTATCCCAAGCACAAGTTGGGAAAAAATATTTTCTTTTGGACTAAATGCAGGAATTACTAATCTATTTTCTCTGACCTCTTTGACACAAACTAGATAAACATAATCAATCCTTTCCCCTTTACTGGCCCTTCCTACAACCAGCCCTGCTCTCTAATTTATAACAGTTGGAGATCTGGCCCCAGATGATATCTTTCTCAGGAAGAAAAAAATTAACCCTCCCCCACACACACACCCTGCCCCCCCATACAAAAATTATAAAAAATTGAGCAAATTATTGGTGATGCAAAAATGTATCTTCCCACAAGCATTCATGCTGGAGATGTCGTTCCATGAGCATCAGGAGCCATGAAGGCTATTTTCCCATTGCTCTGCATCCCCATAGCAAGTAAGGGTAGGATCTGCCTTTTCTGGACACTTTCAGACTTTTTTTTTCAGAGGGCCCTCGGATCTCTGCGACTCTTCCTGCTTCGTGAGTTTTGGTGGAAAATAACCAGCAGGTTAAAGGCTTTAGCGAGAAATTATAGACAGACACAGGCACATGAGGTTTACTTGCTTTGACTTATGCAAGAAGGTGAATTAGGTATATAGAGAATATCAAAATTGGAAGAACAGTGTAGTTGATAGGGAGTAAAATAAATAATAATGTAGGAACTGTTGCAGATTCACAAAAAAACAAAACATAGAAAAAATCCACAACCAAGAGAATGAAGGACTTTAAAAGATACTTTAAAGAAGTGAAAAAAAAGAGAAATTAAAAGATTAGTCAGTGTAGGGACAATGAAAGTGTCAAACATGGTGCAAGTGTTCAGGGAATGTTTCTAGTTGAGGACAAAGCCAGATGCTAAAACTTCATCATATGCAGATGATGAAATATTTTCCCTCTCTTAGTCTCCAAAGATGTTAAAGCCGTAACTACAGGAACTGAGTGGAACCTGCAGCTGCAGGTGACTGGCATTTAAGAGGCTTAAGAGAACTGGAACATAAAATGATGTCATGTGCACGCATTTCTCCTCACATAATGACCTGATGCTCCATTACCAGAGTCAGGCTGGCCAGGTTGCAGAAGGAAATGCCTGTTAATTGTCCAAAGCCAAATCTTGAGCTCAAGAATCTGGAGGACCCAGGTGTGGTCCTGGCCCAAAGGATTGCTCACACTTGACCAAGCGCGGGCTTGTGCCAGAAAAGACATCTGATTTTCGGCTCAGTAGGTCCCATTTGGTGATACCGGACAGTTTCCAGTTTAATGGCACCCTTGGCAAGGGCATACTCCAATTTGACAAACCAGACATTTCCTGTGCTCTCCTCTCTAGCCCCCTTTTAAGGGGATTCACTGCCCTAGTGAGCAGGTTGAAGCTCTGTGCAACGCTTGGACCAAAGTCCATGGCCCTTAGATGTGTGAGAGTTAAGGGAAGGGGAGAAATAAGGGCAGAGCAAAGAGCTGGGCTATTTGATATTATGGAAGGCAAAGAAGGGATCCTATTTCTTTGAGGACTGGTCTGTGCACAACCACACTATAGGGGAAAATATGAATTTCTCTACCATTTATGTATTAAAGTTTAATGAAGTATTCATTAGTTTATTTCTCAGGTACAGCAGGCAGAACATGATATTCCAGGAGACACTGTCATAAGAAGAAAAAGCAATGCAAAATATTACATTTGTTTCAATCATTTATGCAGCTAGATCAGTTGGGATCATAAATATTTCTTCTTATTAATTAAAAGTTATTGTGTGCAAGGCCAGCACTCATTTGTGATCAGTAAAATGTCACACCTGTCAACCCTTAGCAGGTTTCTCCAGTCAACAATAGGCAATGAATTTTTCCATCTGCTTCTAACCTCTGTCATGTCTGTGCAAACACACTGAGATCCTACAGCTCCAGTGCAGCTGAGGCCACAGCTACGGAGTCACATCCAGCTTCCTGCGCAGCTTTCGGATGATGCGTGTACGGATCTGCTTGGTTTTCACACTGTACACAATGGGGTTCATCAGTGGTGGGACCAGCAAGTAGACATTGGCCATGATGATGTGAACAGTGGGAGAGGCATTTTGGGCAAACCTGTGAATCATAGAGAGACCAATCATGGGGATGTAGAAGATGAGGACAGCGCAGATGTGGGAAATGCAGGTGTTCAAGGCCTTAGAACGTTGCTCCTTGGAAGCAATCCTCAGCACAGTGATGAGGATCATCATGTAAGACACAACGAGGAAGAGAGAGTCCAGAACCATTGAGGAAAGAACAACTGTTAGGCCATAAATGCTACTGATTCTCCTGTCTGACTGGGCCATCCTGATGATATCCTGGTGTAGACAAAAAGAGTAGGAAAGAACATTTACTGTATGGTATTGCATCCTCTTCAGAAGAAAGGAAGCAGGGAACACCAAGACTACCGCCCGGATGGTCAAGCCCATTGCGATCTTGGTGACCACTGAGTTTGTGAGGATGGAGGTATACCTCAGGGGCTCCCGGATGGCGACAAAGCGGTCAAAAGCCATGGCCACGAGCACAGCTGATTCAATGATGGAGAAGGTATGGATGAAATACATCTGGACAAGTCATGCATCAAAGTGGATGGCTCTGTAATTGAACCAGAAGACACTCAACATTGATGGCAGGGTGGA